TGCATCGTTTTGCGTGCCAAAAGTATCCCGAAGCCCCGATATTATTCCCGAGCCCCGAAGCAAGTTCTGAGGCCCTGAAGATCCCGAGAAGTGCAATTCCCGAGCCGAAGCTCTGCCCGCGAGAAGCTCGGTTTTTCTGAAGATCTTCCAGATCTTCTGAGGGATACTACATCTGCAAGTCGTAGTACTGTCCGATCATCTTCTGATCAAGTGAGTGTGTAGTTACTTTCTTCTAACGCATAATTATGAAGTATTTTATACGAAATACATGTTATGTGTATAATTTTGTTGTTATGTGTGTGAATGTATATTCACTTTCTTCTATCTCATAGATATGATTTATTCTCTATGAAATACGTGTTATGTGGGTGTGCCTCATCTGTTATATGGAATATGTATTGAATGAGAATGCTAAATAGGTTTTAAACTATGTATAAATATATATATATATGTTTTTATCTACTAATATGTTGAGTAGAACATGGGTAGATAGTTGGTGTGTGATAAACAGATGAGAGGCCTCGATGTTGTTGATCTAGTTATTCAGCGGCGTATGGATAACGACCACGGACTCTTTCTAGACAGTCCAGTAGAACACTAGCAGGTTCATAACCTGTAGGTGTTGTGAACGATGTGTTCACCGGTGTACTCTATCCCCCTCATGGTTGCCTTTAGGATATCTATTGTTGAGGAAACCTCTTAGCAGTAATGTCCGTCCTGATGAAAATCCTAGATTAGGTCCCTTGAGATAGATGTTGTTTTAGGGACATAAAGTAAGGATAATAGGAATGGATAATCGGGTTATTGTTGGTTGGTGCCTTAGACCCTGTTGATATACTGAGGATAACTCACCTCGCAACTGCTGCCTGGAAAGATAAGACCGAGATGCTCTGACCACTGACACGATCTCCACCACTGGCTAACACCAACACTGAACTCAAAACAAAAGCCAACAATTACCAAAATGCCCTTAGAAGTCAACTGGTCAACTCTTGGTTAAGGTCAAAGTCAAAGTCAACCTTCTGGCTGACTCTACTCGCCGAGTCCCCGAACACTGAAAAGTCCCACTCAACTCACTGAGTCATCCATTGACTCACCGATTCTTAGCTTAACCAGGAAAGGCTAAGACCTCAAGACTAGACTTGCCGAGTCCAAGAACAGACTCGCCGAGTCCAAGGCTATCTTCAACCAACTCGCCGAGTTGTTCTTCAAACTTGTCGAGTTCCTGCCCGCCTTCAAGCAACTCGCCGAGTACACCCTTGTGACTCGCCGAGTACCACTAGTTCTTAACCCATACAGAAGCCTTCCAGGCCATGCAATCGATCCAAAACGTAGATCTACCCTTCTACAACCCTTCCATCACGTAAAGTGGCAAACTTTACGTGAATCCAAAGAGATCTAGGCATTTTACACTCTAGGGCTAGGGTTTGGGACAAGATGGCTTCACCAAACACTCAATAATAGGGACTTCAATGCACTCTAGACCTTCTCCATTCCAGATATGAGGTAGTAACCTCAGATCTAACCTTCAAACTCTAAATACCACAAACTAAACTTCCCACACATCCCAAAAATGATGAATCTAGATGAATAGCAGCCCAAGAACGAGATAATACCTCAAAAGGAAGCCCTAACAACAAGGAAGTTCGAATCTAAGCAAAGCCCTTTGCTCCAAGCCTCCTAACTCTCCAAGATCTCTCTTCTCCAAGGCTTAAATGCACTCAAATCCTTCACAATTACGCTTCTAGGGTTTTCTGGACTTCAAAGGAAGGTAAGGAGGCTGGGAAGAGGGTATAATGTCCTTTATATAGGGCTCATCCCCCGAAATTAGGGTTTTCTTCACTCAGCGCCTACTCGCTGAGTCCAGCCCTGGACTCGCCGAGATGGCCACTTAACACGCGACCTGAGTCGCAACCCTACTCGCCGAGTCAGCTCATGGACTCGCCGAGTTGCCCTTCAAATTTACACTTTGACTCCGAACTTGCACTCCTGGACTCGGGATGTTACAAAGAGAGAGAGAGAGAGAGAGAGGGAAAGAGAGAGAGGGAAAGAGAGAGAGAGAGAGAGAGAGAGAGAGAGAGAGAGAGAGAGAGAGAGAGGTGGGGCCCCCTTTGTATATTATTTCATTTTTTATAAAATAAGAGAAAATATCATAAATGGTCCTTGTGGTAGTGATATTACGAAAATACCCTTCAGTTAACGGACAAAACTTAACGGAGTTAGCAATAAGGACCAATCGTCAAAAGTTTTGAAAGCATATGGACAATCTATAACGTTTTAAAATCACAGGGACTGAACTTCAAATTTTAGGAAAGCACAAGGACCATTTATGATGTTTTTTCTAATATGTGTTATGTGGATAAAAAAATCCAATCACTCATATATATATATATATATATATATATATATATATATATATATATATATATATATATATATATATATATATATATATATATATATATATATATATATATATATATATTCAATGTGATTAAGTCAAAAATAATAAATAAAAAAGCCAAAAAAAAAAAATACATTCTTAATATATCACAAAGTTAAGAAAAACAAAAAACGTAACTTACCGATAAGTGTTGATTATAAAGTCAAAAATCCTTCGAACAAGACTATAAAGTCAAAATAATCTTCGATTAGGATTAACAATGTGAGAAGCCTTCGATTAGTATTATGAGTGTGAAGATTAAATTAATTGTGAATAATATTTACAAATTGTAGAATTAGCCAACTATGAATTACAACATTAATCAATAATCTAACTCAATGCATGATTGAAAGATTGTGTGTGTCTGTGTGATCAACTTTTGATGTTTGATTGTTCGTTTGTTTCCTGATAAGTGGAGATTAATTAATTATATTTTGAAAATTTGATGGATCTTAAATAAGTTTGACTATATTATTTTTTATATAATCTATAATTTTTATATATTAAAGTATAAAGTTAGCGGTTCGGTTAATCTATAAAATCATAACCGAACCGTTAATTATCGGTTAACAAAAATTAAAAACCAAACCAACGGTTTTTAAAATGGTTCAATTTGGTTTTGATTCGGTTTTTCGGTTATTAAACATTTTTTTTCTCATCACTATTTAGGAGGTGTTTTATATCGATAGTTAATGTGCTGTTTGATTTTCTGAAGCAAAAATTCATGAAGTCTGCGGACCAACTCTGCAACCCTCTGCAGTAGAAGAGGTGGACCAAACGGCTGCAGACTATAATAAGAAGTGTGTTTGTTTTTTTAACATCTGCATACTGCTGCAGATATTAAAAAATTAAAATAAACTAATTTTATAAACCGAAAATAGCTTTTTAATACGTAAAATTTAATAATGTATAACATTTCGGTAAAAATTAATGATATTTCAGTAAAAAAGAATGATATTTCAACAAAAAATAAAGATATTTTCAGTAAAAAATAATAATATTTTATCAAGACATTATCATTATTGAATATAAAAAAATGAAAAATAAATTCAATAAGAATAAACGAAAAAAAAAGGGAAAAAAATGTGAAATAAAATTTTAATAATATATAATCAAAATTTCAGCAATAAAAAAAAAAGAAGAGGTTGGAAGAGACAATATAAGTGCTGCACCAAAGAGCACGCGCAGAGGTTTTTAACTCCAAAAACTTCAAAAAAAAATAAAAAAAAATAAATAGAGTGCTGCGCGTGTGCTAATTATCCAACAACCAATCCCAAACATGAAACGCACTCTTTTAACGCATGCCCTAATCTAACTGGTGCCTGTGCGTGTGGTAGAGTTGGATCGTGGCTGCGCACATCGTTTCATTTTCTTCCGCCAACCTGATTACCTGATAGAAGAGACGAGAAAGGAATATGAGAATCGTCGGCAGGGTTTTTTGCAAAAACTTGGTTCGGGCATTCTCAGGATCCAGCTTAGGAACTGGAAATAATCATCTGCGGTTCAAGACCCATTCTTTCTCTCTTTCCCCGTATTCCACTGGTTCGTTATTATCAGTTAAACCTATCTCTGTGTTGCTATGCATCTTATTTTCTTTCTTCTGTTAGCACCAGAGTCAAGCATGATCTCCCTATCTTTCTTTTTTCGTCGGGTATAGTTGTCGGCTCCATGAAAATTCAAAATTAAGTATTTTAATGTGCTGTCACAAATTGGGGAAAATGTCTTGTTTAATGTTACATATAAATGCATGCTATGCTGTGGATGATACTGATATCTCTTTATTTATCATCAACGTGGTTCTTAAAAGTGGCGGAGTTGCAACCTCAGTCATCCGTGGAACTGATCAAGATTATGGAGCACAGGTTGTCGGCTATTGAGCACCGGAGTGTTTATCTTCAGGGCATTATAAATCAGGTAAGAGCGCTTGAGTCTCATTATATATGCTTAAATTTGGCGTGTCTTTTTTCACATTTGGGTTAGGAAGCTTGCTATTATCTTCTTCCACTTGTCTTAAACGGGGTACTATTTTTCAGTGTTGAATAATTCCAGTTTATAGCTGTTTAACCTTACTACGTCTTTTTTAGTAGTCAGATAGCTGTACTAAGATTAGTTTCAAAATCAAATAGTGGGTACTTAATTGGTGTTAGTTGTGAGTTGGTTTTGCCCTCTTATCCTAGTATTTGGATTATGGCATTAAATTAGGAAATCATTGAATATCATGAGTATTTAAAGATTTAAGTTGCAGGTTTGAAGTTGTAACTTTTCATCAAGAACTCAACTATTAGTGTAATTTTGTTCTTCTGTCCCTTCTGTTTTATTTGTGATAAATGTAAATTGAAGAGTTATGAAATGGCTGTGATGAGGATAATTGTAAGGGTAACACCGAGAGCCCATATGATAAGCTTCCTTGTAGTTTTTTCTTTCCAAATATTCTCTTTGTATATGTTCGTGTAGGTTTTTGCGTTCTGTAATTCAAATTTTGTCATGGTTTTGCATGTTATCTAATTTATATACCAATTTCGTTCTTTCATCTATATTGATAATTTGTTAAAGACAGCCAGAAGCCTCGCCAACTGAGTATTCGAGAGCAAACAAGGAGCTTCAAAACCTTAATGCTAAAATGGATCTCATAAGTAAGCTAAGGACCATACAAAAGGTGATTCCTTGTGCTTTTGATACATATTTTTAATTTTTAATTTTTTTTTTGTGTTAGTAACTTGTCAGATATATGATGTCAATAAAGTGGTCTTTAAGGGTTAGGTAATAAGTGGTAGGTTTGTAATAAAGTGGTAAGGCATGGGTACTTTGGTCATTCTCTTAGTTAGGTGATGTAGGGCTATCATAACACCATTTTTATTGGATGTATGCATGCGACCGATTGCTATGAACAATCCAAAAAAAGATAAATGGACGACCATTTGTATAGAAAGTCATAATGCAACCCAAGATAGGATTAGTTCTTTTATTTCTTGTTTCCTTTTAATTTTAATATCTTGTTATTAGGTAGTATGTTAATTTCAAAATTATAAGTAATATAATAAAATTCATGGTTATTAATTCCCTATATATATATATTATATAATATTGATATAGTTTTTATATATATTTGAAATTCTCATATAAAATATAATTTTGGTTGTGATAGGTTGTTGATAAATGGTAAAATTTTATATTTTGTTGATTGTATATATGGATGAGAGAGAGAATGCTTTTTAATGAAAAAGTGGGTTGTGACTGGTTGCTACAAACATACAAACCTAAAAAAATTATCTTGGGTATTTTTTTCCGAAAATATAAAAGATGATAAAATTTTCACATATGTAAAAAAAAAAAAAAAAAAAAAACTTATTACCACAACAAAAACAACAAAACAAAAAAAAATTTGGTTTCATTTTGAAGTTTTGACAATCACATTTACGTTATATACTTTATATAGAATACATTCACTTATTTAGTATATTTACATAAATAGGCTAGCTAATAAAAACATATCTATTGTTTAATGTCTAAGTAAAAGTAGTATGAAGTGAAATTATAAATATGGGGACAAAACAAATAAGATGATTAAAAGGTTGGAGAATTATATGTGGTTGGAGAGACCTATTTAAAAAGCTTACCATCCCAATCCTAAAAAGCTTTTGAAAAGCTACAATTGGAGATGCTGTTAATTTATCCATAGTTAAGATTCTATGTACATGGATTTGCAACAATTAAGTATTTGAAATGATAGTGGTTCCTGATTAAATCAAAATCAGGCGTGCATTGGGAGAGAAGAGTTGGGTAACCTTTTTGATTAATTTCTTTGGTTCCCTTCCCCCTATCAAATTGGTAAATAAGGTCTTTTTTACTTGAGAACCTGTGAAAATTCTTTTGGCAAAGAGACGAGTTAGTTTAAGTTTATGTACCTCTTGTAAACATTGATGCCCTTATAATAATAGACAATCTGATTCTAATCTAATACGCAACACAAGATGCTGCATTGTTTTTGGTGTATCTTGGAATGTGCAAAGCAGAATTAACCATAACTTGTCACACATACATAAAAGTCTAGAAAGACTAACTAAGTTATTCAATTAACTGAAGCTCATAGTGCAGGATAATTAAAGTAAGCAGTACATTGACGTAACTAACTATTCTAGATCCTTGAAAATGCATGCATTGCGTTCAATGATTGTAGAATCATAATACTTGAAGTAGTTGGCTTTATCCTACAAAGAAAAGATGTAGTATGATTGGTAATTCCATTACAGCATGATATTTGTATTCTGATGCTGATCTGTCATCTGTGTTTGGTTGGCTGTAGGAAATTGAGAGTTTGAAATCACTAGTGGGCGATTGTGAACAAGATAAAGACATGCAGGCCATGGCATACGAAGAACTGGAGCAGGCGTTGAAAGAAGAAGGATATTTGCATAATCTGCTGCTCAAGGCTTTACTGCCTAAGGATGATGCAGATGAAAGGGACTGCATTTTGGAAGTCAGAGCAGGTATATGTTTTGATAACAATAATGATAATAATGCCAAATCAAATTTCTGAAATTCAATTTTGGATCAGGAACTGGAGGGGAAGAGGCTTCTCTGTTTGCTATGGACATGTTCAAAATGTGATTTATAGATTTTTCATCAGATATCAAAATGTTTGCTTAAACTAAAAAGTACACCATGACTCCAGGTATGAGAGATACTCGCTGAAAAAGGGTTGGAGGTTTGAGGTGGTGGATGTGACGGATTCAAATATGAAAGGATACAAGGTGATTGTGATAAAAATAATTAGGTTGGTATGGATATGGATATGGATATAAATGTTATTTGTTGCCAGGAAGCCACAGCCGCAATATCTGGGGTGGATGTCTATGGAAAGCTTAAATTTGAGAGTGGAGTTCATAGAGTGCAGGTCTGTTGGGTTGCTGAATTGACTTGACTGCTTGTATGCATAATAATGCATGTGTGTCTGATGTTATAATTTTTTGCAGCGAGTGCCTGTCACGGAGAAGTCTGGACGGGTTCATACAAGTGCTGTGTCTGTTGCTATCCTTCCCCAGGCAGATGAGGTGATTGATTTTTTTTGTCTTTGCCATCATTTGTGTCTTGTGGTGTGGATTATTATTATTATTATTATTATCAAAGTTAAGTTTTGCAGGTAGATGTTCAACTGAGGAATGAGGACTTGAGAATCGACACATACAGATCTGGTGGATCTGGTGGTCAGCATGCAAATACTACAAATAGTGCTGTTAGGATCACCCATATTCCCTCTGGGCTGACGGTTGCTATACAAGATGAACGCTCACAACATATGGTACTTTACATCGTCTTACTGCATATCTTAGGGCACTTAGATGATATGCTTATTTTCTCTTTGGTTGGATAGAATAAGGCTAAAGCCCTAAAAGTGCTGTGCTCCAGACTGTATGAGGTGGAGAGATGTAGGGCTCAAAACAGCAGATCAAAGCTAAGATCCGAGCAGGTATTTGTGGTGCAAATATTGGATGGAGTTGTTTGTTTCTTTATTGACAACAACATTTGATAAAACAGATTGGTAGCGGGGATAGATCTGAACGTATACGTACATACAACTTTCCACAAGGACGAGTTACCGATCACAGGATAGGCTTCACTCATCATTCCATCGGTGATGTGATGCAGGGAGAGAGTTTGGACTATTTCATTGACGCCCTTCTTTTGCAGCAGGAAATGGATGCGGTTGCTGACTTCACTGCCACCTCCCATCATCATTGAACCAACAATATATGCTGTTATGGAAATGAGAAAGAGATTTCTTTTGTAGCAGGAAATGGATGCAAGCCAAGTCCAAACACATTCATTCATATGACACTTACAAATAATAAATTATGAATTTGGATTTTTATGGAAATGAGAAAGAGAAAGTCTGAAGTTTGAAAAACAAGTTGTGGATAAAGGCGGTGTGCAAAAAAAACTGAAAACCGAGCCGATCCGGCCAACCCGAAACCGAAAGAAACCGGGTACCTATGGGTCGGTTTCTGTTTGGGTATTTAGATTTCTGCGAATACCAGGGGGAACATTAGATCAGAAAAGACAGAATAATTATATATATATATTAAACTTGGACAATCCTTAGGAATAGTGTCCTCATGCTAATTTGCGTAGGTGTTTTTTTTCCACAAATGGTCCTTCGTTAAAAATCGACTGGAAGCGGGTGGAACCCACAATTGTTTTTTTCACAAATGGTCCTTCGTTTTTTGTATTGAATATATTTTGGGTTTTTTGTATTGAATATATTTTGGGTGCTGTTTGACACTTTATTTATACTTTTGTTCCGTTTGTCCCACGTGTTTCATTTTTGGTTGCTTTGCCGTTTTCCTATCCAATGACACTTTTACCGGTGGTTTTTTTAATTGATATATTTTTTTTCCTTTAATGTTTCTTATATATCCCTGCTTTTCTTCTCTGTTTTTGACCTGTTCTTTTGTCTCTTCTGTTTCTTTGTGTGAGTTGGAGGTAAGATTTCCGGATTCTCTTCTACGTTTCGTTCTTTTGGATTCACCCTTTTTTTGTGTTTATATATTTTTTCGTTATGTATGGTAAACGTAAACTGGAGTATGGTGTTGTTGGGTCGTCCTCTTTTGGAGCTGCACCGGTTTTTCGGCGGCCTAGATTTTCTTCACGGATGCGTTCTGCCGGTGTTCTTCCAAATTATGTTGATTTTGGTGAATATGATTGCGTCTGTGAATATTGTGGAGCATGTTTTTGGTTTGTCGAAAGGAGTCTAAAGGTGTCTAGAACTCATCATCCTAGATATGGTCATTGTTGCAAGTCTGGTGATGTTATTCTCCATTATCCTTCTTTTCCGCCTGAATATGTTGCGATTTTTCATAGCGATTGTTTTTTGAGGGATATTAGAGCTTATAATAGTATGTTTGGTATGACGTCTTTTGGGGCTAATGTTGATGAGGAAATAAATGATGGTCATAGTCCGTATGTGTTTAAGGTTTCGGGACAGATTAGTTATAAAATTGGTTCCTTCTATCCTGATCCTACTAAGGGGCCTAGGTTTCTTCAGTTGTATCTCTTTGATGCTGATAATGAAGTGAGCAACTGGTTGATTGCTTTTCCGAATCGTAGAAGAAATGATTTCGATGCCAATATAGTTACGTTTCTGATAACGTTTTTGAAGGCCAATAACGAATATACCATCGTATTCTGTTCGTTTGTTTAATGATGTATCTGTGCTTTGCCTTTACCTGGGTCTTTGGGTTGTATTGTTACCGATGATGATACAAATTCTGTGCGGTATGAGATTGTTGTTCACTGTAATTCGGGTTCTCCCAATGCTACGTACATGCCTCTACAGTATCCAGTTTTATTTCCGTATGGTGAGCCTGGTTGGTCTCCGCATTTGAAATTGGGCAATCGATCTGGTGCGGATGCAAGAAGTCTTACTGTTAATATGTATTATGCTTATCATATCCATTGTCGACGGCACATATGGTCGACCATTTTGAATTCATCTAGACTCTTTCAACAGTATTTAGTAGATGCATATACATGTATTGAAGAGGATGGCTAGAATATATTGCGGCACATCAGGATGACCTTCGTTCAGAATATGTTAGTGGTTTATACGATGCTCTTTCAAAGGATGATAGACTGTCTTGGTCCGTCGGGAAACGTATTTTCTTACCGACATCTTTTACAGGTGGTCCTCGCTATATGTATAGTCACTATCTGGCTATTTGTAGGGTACATGGCAATCCACAGTATTTCATTACATTTACATGCAATGTCAAATGGCCAGAGATTACGTGTTATATGGATGCGTTTGGTCAGACGGACCCACATAGTCGAGCAGATATTATTGCAAGGGTTTTTAAAATAAAGGTTCAGTCATTCATACAGTTTTTAAAGGAGGACAAGACTTTTGGAGAAATTGATGCATGTATGTTTCTTTTTACTTATTGGGTAATCTACATTACATTTTATTGTTTATTATTCCAATAAAATAAATGATGTATGTTTCAGTTTATTGTCAATTCTCTTTTTGAAGATAATATGAAAATGTATTGGTTGTTCATTATATGAATGATTTTTGATGAAATCATATATTTCTATTATCACTTTTTTATTCCAACAGAAAGAAGGAGGTAGTTTTAACATCACAGATCATTAAGAAAATCAAACCTAGATTATAGATTAGACAAACTGGAAAGACACAATATGCCCTTCATGGAATATCATTAGCCTCTATAATCGAGAGCTCTTTAAAAAAACTTGCCTTATTTAAACCAAAAATGATGAAATTGCCCTTTATCCATTTTACTGCACAACTCTTATTGATTTTAAAATGTACTTTATGGAACATCATTAGCCTCTACAGTTGGGAACCTTTTAAAAAAACGAGCCTTCTTTAAACCAAAAAAGACCTAATTGCTTTTTCTCCATTTTACCGCACCAACATCTGAAGTGTTAACTATTTTTATTAAAAACGTTGAAGTAGGCTTGTCTTTAAGACGTTTGACCAGAAAACTCCACATCTTTTTTAGGGTTGTTTATAAGTGAAAACATCTACTTCAGATGAAGTCTCTGAAAGAGACTAAATGACCATATACCTGTTTCAGTTCCAACATTATTTTCAGCGTCCATTTTCTTAACCTGTACAAAAACTCCCTATAAACCATGCAGTTCTATATTTTTCTTTTATATATGCTGAAAAATAATGCATCATTGAGCTTTTTTTTTTTTTTTTTTTTTTTTTTTAAAGAAATATCATTTCATAATACTTGTAGTGTTAGGCTTGGTCAAGGTTGAAATCTGTGTCATTATTGTTACAGTACGGGAATTAACAAGGTCAATATACGATATTAGGGTGAAAATGTTTCTCAGGGGTTAACATTAATTACTTTGTTATTTTGAAGTCAGATGTGTGATTTAACTTTTTTTGAAAGAAAAAAAAAAGATCAAACATTTGAAAAAAAAATTATACTCAGTTTCCAGAATCCAAAAACTTCTATTGAGCAGATACTTGATTATATTCTTTATTTTTTTGCTTATATATATTTTATGTTTTTTTTTCTTTTGTTTTTCTTTGCAATTACTATTGTTTACTATTTCTTGCATGTTATCTATTTTCCATTCGACATGTTTATTATCTATTCCATTTTCTTTTGGGAAAATGCCTTAAAAAACCAATTAAGTTTCAAAAACGTTCATACTACCCCAATTACGTTTTTGTTGTTCACAAAAAACCAACGAAATAATGTTTTTTATTATAAATCCAAATAAAGTTACGAATAAAAATAACATTTTTTAATGGTGACCGGCATTTGTAGGTTATGTTTCTTTGTTTACCGGTGATAATCTGACGTGGATTATTAAACCACATTACATCAAACATAAGTGCCACAAGGATATCGATTCACCATCAAGGGTTCTCAGTGAAGGGTGAAATCGATATCTAGGGTTCTTACATAACGGAACGGTGAACTCGTGACAGTGAAATTGATTTTTACAGAAGGTGAAGGAAAGTTAGTCGATTGTACAGCAAGGGTTCTCAACAGCAAACGTGTCTCGTGACTCACTCAACATTGATGTCTCGTGCAGCAAGCGTGTCTCGTGACTCACTCAACATTGATGTCTACCATCAAGGTGTTTTTTCTCCTAATCCCTTGGTTTACTTTCATCCTGATAAAGTACCTGTTATGGGGCTAGATGTACGTAACATGGATTTCAAGAAGTTCAAGACCTATCTCCAAAAATTGATCAACAATAGATGTCGGGATATGTATTACTGTCTTAAAAATCGGTCCCTCGTAGATGGGTTAAGGGAGCTCAGGGATGAAGATGATTATGTTAGGTTCCTTGATGCTGGGTTTGATGATGATGATAATCAAATAAGTATCTACATTGATGACCATCATGAACCCTTACTAGATTGGATTGAAGAAGAAAAAGCTGAAGAATGGGATAGTGGTACTGAAACATATGAAGATGATGTGGACTCGGTATTATCGGATGATCTATCGGTGGACCATGAAGCTGATGATGAGGACATTCAATGGCCTGAAGTTGTTGATCCTTTTTTGTCACAGAAGAACCTTATTCCACAAAGAGGCATAGAGGAAGAAGCTGGTGGTAAGGTAAAAAAACATCCTATTCACGATCCAAACCAAAAATGGGACACTATGATGCCTGAGTTAGGTATGAAATTCTCTGATCGAGATGAACTGAAACATATGTTAACAAATTATGCTGTGTCTAAGGGTTATTCATTGTGGTATGAAAAAAATGAGGCAAAAGCATTGTTAGTAAGGTGCAGTAAAAATGAAAAAGGGAAGCCATCTTGCCCTTTTAGACTATGGGCTAGTCCCATGAACAAGGAAAATTCATTCCAGATCAAGTCACTAATTGATAAACATAATTGTGCTAGACAACAAAAATTGGGTTGTCTTGTTACGTATAAGTGGATTGGAAAAATGTTAATACCTGACATTTTGGAAAGGCCTAAGTTTAGCTATAGGAAAATGGCAGAAGTGGTTAGGAAAGACTATGGTCTCAAGGTAAGTCTTGGGCAGTGTAGAAATGCCAAGTACTTTGCACTAGATGAGATTTCAGGCAATTTGGTAAGCCATTATGAGAAACTGTGGAATTATGGTGCTGAGTTATTGAGGGTTAATCCTGGGTCAACAGTCTTGATCGAGACAAATCATACGCCTGATGCTACACACTACTTCAAAAGGATGTATATTTGCCTGAAGTCTATCAAGGATGGCTGGATTGAAGGATGTAGAAGGGTTATCGGTGTTGATGGCTGTTTTTTGAAGGGTATTTGCAGAGGTGAGTTGTTAACAGCCGTTGGTAGGGACGCAAACAACCAAATGTATCCTCTAGCATGGGCTGTTGTGCCAGTTGAAAACAAGGAAACTTGGATGTGGTTCATTGATCTTCTACTTGAGGACATTGAGATGGGAGATGGTAGGGGTCTTACAATTATTTCAGACCAACACAAGGTGTGTTATAGTTTACATTTTACTTACTTTATTATGTGTTATTATGTACTTTAAAACTGAAATTTGTTATCACCTTGTAGGGTTTAATGGAGGCTGTTAAGGAAAGGGCACCATCATGTGAGCATAGGAATTGTGCCCGACACATCTATGCCAACTTTAAGAAGAAGGGGTTCACGGGTGTTGAGTTTAGGAGGTTATTTTGGAGTGCTGCAAAGGCTACAACCGATTCCAATTTCCGATCATACATGAGGGAAATTCGTACAATGTCCACAGAAGCTTATGAGCACCTGATAGAAAGAGACCCAAATACATGGTGCAGAGCATTCTTTGAACCTCAGACTTGTTGTGATGCGGTGGAAAACGGTATATCTGAATCTTTCAATGCAGCAATTGTAGAGGCCCGGAAGAAACCAATAATAACAATGCTGGAAGAAATCAGATTGTACGTGATGGAGAGGATGTACAATCAAAAGATTAAGGGGCATAAGTGGGACATGGAAATCTGCCCCTCTATTAGAAAGAGGATTGAGAAGATGAAAGAAGAACAAAGGTATATTATTTAATTGTAAGTGATTTAATATGAAATAACTTACCTTCTTAATATGATTTCAGGTATTGGGATGTTATTCCAAGTGGCGAGGAAGAATATGAAGTGAAATTAGCCCATGAAGTTTATGTTGTTCACCTTGAAAGCAAAACTTGTGGTTGCAGAGCCTGGCAACTCAGTGGTATCCCTTGTGTGCATGCCATTGCTGCTATATTATACCTGAATGGAAATGCAGAGGACTATGTAGCCGTATGGTTTAAAATAAGCATGTTTGGAAGTTGCTATAGGTATCCAGTCAAACCAATAAATGGAGCTAACATGTGGCCTAATGTTCTATTTGATCCCATATTACCACCTCGGCGTAGGAGAATGCCAGGAAGGCCCAAAGTAAACAGAATGAAATGTCCTACAGAAAATGAAGGAAAGCATAAAATTAACAAGACAGGGATGTCCATCTCAAGATGTAGTAATTGTCATCAAGAAGGACACAACAAGAGGCGATGTCCATTGCTCAAAGAAGGTTCGTTTTTATTTTGATTATTCATTCATCTACATTTGTATAATAATTATTATTTTTGTTTTAACAATGCAGCAAATAAAGCAACTGTTAGTGAAGGGGATGTTGAAGAAGGGATTAGTCAAGATGGGATTAGTGAAGATGGGGTC